CTGTGTGTGTGTGTGTGTGTGTGTGTGTGTGTGTGTGTGTGTGTGTGTGTTTGCGCGTGTGTGTGCGTGTGTGTATTCATGCAGCTGTGAAGCTTCTCCATCCAAACAGCCACCCTCAGCCCCCATTTCCCTCTTGCCCAAAGTGGAAAGCACAGGCGAAAGTGAAGCTGTTTTAGGTCAGCTGCACAGCTTGGCACTTGGCATATGTGTGTGTCTGAAGTCATGCAATGTCACCACACACTAACACACACACACATACACACACGCACACACACACACGCACACACACACGTGCGCTCACAGATGCTTCACCCACCCTCGGGTATATACACACACGCACACGCACATGCGCACACACACACACACACACACACACACGTGCGCTCACAGATGCTTCACCCACCCTCGGGTATATACACACACGCACACGCACATGCGCGCACACACACACACACACACACACACACACACACACACACACACACACACACACACACACAATCAAGAGAACACTTCAAAGTCCTTCATTTCCAAACCAGTAACTTTTGGTCAGAGTAACGCCGAGCTAATTAAAGCCAGAAAACTCGACTGTAGACTAAAGACTCCAAATAGTGAAAAAGTGTCGTTTTTTTTCCTAACCATCATGCCTGGTCAAACATGAGTAATGAATTGGATTCAGGGAATGATAAAACCATATGAAGGATGCCCTAAGGGAATACAACGGTGCAAATCAGAACATTATTACTTTTTGTTTAGTGTGTGTGTGTGTGTGTGCGTGCGTGCGTGCGTGCGTGTGTGTGTGGGGAGCTTCTTTTACATTGAATTTAGCAGGCTTGAACATGCTCTCAAAACAAGTATTCAGTCAAATAGTGGCCTACCATTGCGGGAAAATCAAAGAGCTGTTTCCCTCTATGCGCTGTTAACAGCTTCCGACCTGTCTGGTCAGACCTCCCACTAGATTTATCCAAAAAAGGTTAGTCGTTTCGGATTTTGCTTGGGGCACACGGAACAGAAAAGGGCCTGGAAGCATATATTTGTCCAAAATGTCTTGGTAAGTTCGGTAATTAAGATTCAAGGGCAACTTGATGTTGACCTAATTTTAGCTTAATCTGTGAAACCGGTCTCTGGGACTCATTTTTGTCTAAATTTTCAAGAATCCTCACGATGATAATTGAACTTTGAAGCTATGCTCCACCCGCATTCAGTGGTACAAACAAAAAAGCTTGTCAATTAACGTCGCCCATCTCTCGATGAAACCTGCTTCTGATTGGGGCTCGTTTTGGCAAATTGACTACAGTAGTTGGAGTTTGTCATAATACGAGTACTGGAATATTCCTAAAATGGCTGCTCCCAACAAACATGGGCAACTATCTGTTCACCTTTGGGGCATGGATCCATGAGAATTTTTCATGTCTACCATTGATATAGACATGTCTACCCAATTTCACGTTGATCGCGACTATGGAATTCATCCAAATCTGCCCCATCAGGAGACAGATATCCTGAACCAGCGATGGATGCGCAACTGACAGCTGCATGAATGAATGAGTGAATGAGTTTATTGGATTAAAAAAAAAAAAAATTCTGATTCATTTCAATGAGCATGAATGATACGCAGCTTTTCGTGGGCGGGCCGGACCCTATCCCCCGCGATTCGTGAGGTTCCACTGTGCAATTTTAAGTTGTAATATCACTATTCAACAAGAAACGGCTGGCATTGCTTATTTGCGTTTGCATCGGGTCTTATATTGCCCTTTACAATAACTTGATATTGTGACAAAATCACAGTCTGTGATATTTTTTTTACATTTTTAAAACTCTTTATTTTTGAAGGCTGAATCTTTGATACATGTATTAAGCACGAAATATATTAAGATACGATAATGCACATTGGTTCGATAAAAAAACAGACGTGCACATATTTTGTCAATATATAAAATGGCGTTATTGTCGTACACCTGGGAAAGAAGTGCGTGGTCCAATGGCCACCAAGTAGCACTGATGAAAAATTGTGGCTCCCCTCCATCATTTTTATTGCCTATCCCTGTCCTAGACAGATGGGTGACGCTGAATTGAAAAGCTTTTTTGCCTGGCTCCTCTAACGTGGGTGGAGAATAGCAGTGAATTTAATGAGCATTTTGAAGATTCTTGGAATGCTGAAAAAAACGAAACACCCTGGGCACCAGTTTCATCAATCAACACGAAATTGGGTGGGTGTGCCTATCATAACGGGATGCACAAAATTGTTTCAAAGGACCCATGGTCCAAATTAAGAGGAAGTTGGCCATTTCATGTGAAGCCGCCCTTTTAGGCAAATTCCAGGGCTCGCAATTTGACAAAGTCTGACTCAGGAATTCACTGATAATTCAACCAAATGATACCCAATTGTAAAGGTATCCAAAGTTGCCTGGCTTTGTGGCCTCAACTGTCACATGTAGGTGAAGCATGATGTCAAATATTAATTTCTAGGATCCACCGTGAAAAATGGAGCACAAATGCCCATCAACTGCTATTTGCAAATTCTGTCGGTGGTGTACCGAATAAAGCGGCCAACAAGTGCACAGGAGGGTGTGTTTGCGCTGTCATTATGCGTGCGACAGCAACAACAGCAGAAGGTCAGAGCGTAACGTGACGTGTTTAACGACATGTGGGTAGATTGATTGTAGCCTCGCTGAAGCAATGCATTTTAAACAGGCCTCTCCAACAGCACGGTCTCTGCCGCCGTGACATTTGCATCAGCAATTGTTGGCGCCGCGCTCTCCATTTGTTGTCATTTTTGGGATGTGCGCCAGGATGACTCCATCCAATTCCATCCCCCCATCCCCACGCCACCGCCGACCCCCGTGGAGTGTAAACATAACCACAAGGCGAAAGGTCGCCGACATAGCACTGGCAGATGATTTCGCTTACATGCCGTCTTGTCTGGTGATGGTGTAGCCGTAGTCGGGGTAGTGCGGGAATGACACGTTGACTCCGATCAACGGTGTTCCGTCTCCGGTGAGGACCTGACCACGGATGACTGACGCCAGGCTGTGTGAAGGGATAAAAAGAACCCCCCAGCCCCCCAAACACACACACACACACACACACACACACACACACACACACACACACACACACACACGGTTGGTTGAATGGGCAGTAGCAGCTATTGTGTCAAGCGACAGAAAACTGAAAAAAATGAAAAATACATATATGCTACAGTCTTTTTCTTTTATTCAAACGATGGAATGAAAAAGGCAAGGCAGCGTTTTTTTTTATATACAGTATGTATATATCATGCCTCATACACAAGGTTACTAACTGTGCTTTACATAGTTAAAAGTACAAATATAACATAAGCTTTAAAAAAAAAAACAAAAAAAAAAAAAAACAAAACAAAGATCTAAGAATATGTTTACATTGCAGGTGTGTTTCAATTTTCTTCCCCATATGCGTCCCATGAAGATTTTTTTTTCAAATCGGACCTGGCCTCTTGAAGGGAAAGACGACTCATCCATGAATCTGCAAAGCTGTCCTAAATTACAGTGTTGTCTTTACATTTGACTATAATTTAATCCCATTTGAAACATGAAGCATAAAGTGGACATGGGTGATGATTGGAATTCAGCCATTCAAGCACGGCAATGACGTGATGTCATCTTTAGTAGACATCTCCATGAAATGAGGAGCTTGAGGAGTGTTTCCTCATACCCCCAAAATATTTCTACCTCCTCCCGCCTCGCTACTCTGGTGATATGAGATGATAAAATGAGCCCCTACACGTGGGACCACATTTCCTTCTGTAAACACAGTGACGTTGATTTCTGACACCCTGATTTCTCCGCATATTATATTATGCTAGGCTGTGCATAAGCGTGTGAGCCTGTCTTTAGGCCAAACCCACGCAGGCACGAGGAGAAAATGCAAACTCCACACAAGAAGGCCGGAGCCGGAATCGAACCTTGCACCTCTGCACTGCGAGGCAGACGTTGACCACATGATAAAGCATCATTATAATAATTATGATAATAATACATTCATAATAACAGTTATTATTATTATTATCCATCCATTCATCCATCCATCCATTTTCAACACCGCTTACGCAGAACAGGGTCACAGGAATTTACTGAGCCTATCCCAGCTGACTTCGGGCGTAAGGCTGACTACACCCCGAACTGGTCGCTAGCCAGTCGCAGGGCACATATAGAGACGAATGACCATTCACACCCACATTCCCACCGTCACTGAGTGGGAACCGATCGCACGCTGCCCTCACACAAGTCAAGTGAGTGTACCACTACATTGTTTTTATTATTATTATTATTACTAGTATTATTTAAATTAGGATCTTGCATGTAGGCTCATTTGGTGTGTAAATTAGTTTTTTTTCTTTTTTTACTTTTTAGCAGGTTGTCGAACAAGAAACAGCATGTCTCACTAACTGGCTGATTTGCCCTACAGGCAAGCTGATTTAGTTTGGCCCGACACTGCACTATGCTTTCACCGGGCCAAAAATGAATTAAAAAAAAAAAAAAAATTCAGGCACCTAGTTGCATAGAGTTGACAGACACATGAATAAAAATCCATCAAAGACAAGGGCGAGGCCTTCAGGTGAACTTCCACATAACTTGACCTTGCTGCTGTATTTTCTTGTTAAAGTCATGCTTCCGCTGCGTTTAATTAATTCACCACCTCTCAAGCGTGGAGAGGAATCGGAAACAGGCTCCCTCTTGCATTCATCACATGGCTGAGAAGGAGGGGGGGAAAGGCATGTTATCTCCAGGTCATTATGTAGCAGAGGCAGGCCTGATCAACAGCAGCGTTAACGCATGCATCCTTTATTTGGCCAAGCTCAGGCAATCGGGCCACTTAACAGTGCGGCGCTGCTTCTTTCCAAGCATCTCTATTTGTCTTTAGAACGCAAGACAAATGCCACAAGTACAAATAAAGCCAGCGACAGCTGCTGACGCACGAAAATGAATGCATTGTTGGATGCTCATATGTTTCATTGTCAACCACAGATGCATAATATTCAAGAAAAGGAAGATTTTTCTTGTTTTTTTGCTCAGTACACCCTGAACTGGTTGCTAGCCAATTGCAGGGCACACATTGACAAACAACAATTCACACTCACACCAAAGGACAATTTCGAGTGTTCCATCAACCTGCCACGCACGTTTTTGGAATGTGGGAGGAAACTGGAGTACCTGGAGAAAACCCACGCAGGCAAGTGGAGACATGCAAACTCCACAGAGGCTGGGGCTTCAAATCGAACCCGTGACCTTTGCAATGTGAGACGGACGTGCTAACGAGTCGACCACCATGCTGCCCTATTTTTGATTTGACTGTTGTGTTTGTATTATATATTTTTAATTGAAATACTGTACCCATTTTCTTTCTCAAAAATCCTTTGTGCATCCCTCAAAAATAAATGTGTCACTGAACACAGGAGTGCAATCATAATGACAAGTCTGTCAGTGAGTATAGATTGAGTGTTAAACAAGATTCACATTTAACTTTTACTCTATCCACTGCAATTTGTTGACAAACAATCACACTGCGATACAGAAAGGAGATGACAGCATTTCATAGCACAAAGAAAAAAAATTTTTAAAAAAGTAGAAATGTGAACACGAGAGGTTCTCATCAGGGAAAAGCAGGAATTACAAGGCAGTCAGTCATCCTAGTTCCCTTGGGCCACAAGTTGTCATTCACATCACAATTATCTGCACTTGCAGGGAGCTATTTCAGAAACTGTGATCATTGGTTGATGCTTCACAGATTTCTCCATATAAAGACAAGATTCACCACTGTAGGAAACGATGGAGAATTGTACATAATCATTTGCGTGCATGAGCCACTGCACGTGGAACTTATTAAAAGGAACAGGAAAAAGCTTTTTTTGATGAGCATTCGTGACACAATGTGAAAAGTGAATATGGAGTTCTGAGAAATTCATTTCTGATCTGAGAAATGTACCAAAGCAACGAAGAAAAACGAATATTTTGGCTAAGATTGTCATGTTGTATGAGCTTAGTTGACTACAGAAATAGAAAACGTTTCACTGGCTTTTGCATTCATCTCAAAGCTTTTGAGCCTTTTTTAGCTCCCTGGCTTTAACGTTTAGCTTTATGCAAACCATGTAACAATGTCTGAGTAGCATGTTATACAGTATGAGTGTCAAGGCACAATCGTGCAGCAGTTCAGCCATCTTTGATCGCTAACTCTGGCAACAACACAAGCACAAATTACACAGATGATACCTGCATACCGTAATTTGTGGTGCACATTCGTAAATAATTGTATTTGATAGATAGATAGATAGATAGATAGATAGATAGATAGATAGATAGATAGATAGATAGATAGATAGATAGATACTTTCACCTCCAAAATTCCATGGAAATGTTTAATTTGTGTAACATAACCAGCAAAATTAGCTACAATAGCTAACTCAAGAGCACGTTTGTTTTGACGTGGAAAGAAGAGTGAAAAACACGATTTCCAACTGCGCGCAGGGAATATTTCCTGCGACGGTTTCAAGTAATCCTTATGTAAATACACTGCAGCTCGCTTTACTGCAAATATAGAAGCAGGCAATAACCCAGACCCGTGGATAGCGAGTAATCCTTATCCTCATTGTCTTCAGCTTACTGTCATGTTGGTGTCTAGCAGCAGCATTAGCGCTCATGCTCAAAATATTCATTAGATTCTCTTTTCGCTTTCTCATGGCTAAAAGAAAAGCCTGCCCCCTTAGAAGTTGAGCACACAGTTAATTAAATGTTGCTGTATCGCACCACTGCAATGCTGCATTTATTCATTAAAAGCTTCTTCTTTAAGCCTTCTGGCTTGAGCATTTAGCCCCGAGCAATTGAGCAAACTGATTTAATGTGGCAGTAAACAGTGCACGATCATCTTGTTAGAATTGTTGTACGAGTGTGTTAGCATGTTCTTAGCATTTAGCTCTTGTGTGAAACATTGTGGAACATAAACTCAATAAAACACTTGCGGCTAATGTGGCATATTAGCCTTCTGGCTTTATAATTTAGCATTTAACCATTGGGAAAATAGACTTCATGTGGCAATTTATAGTGTTATATCTTGTTAGGATTGTCACATCAACGTGTTAGCATTTAGCACTTGTGTAAATCAATGTGGAATATAAAAATTATGAAAAAGAATATCACACTACGCACCATGTTCCTATTGTCAGCATTGTCACATGAGCATGTTAACTTGTCATTAGCATTTTGTATAAAGTATTAATTATTATAAATACATCTATTTATAGTAAATATGTTATTTATTGAAATGTAGCAAAAACTAACTTAATGCAGATTTTTTTTCATGTCAAAATAGTTGTCCATGCATGTCGCGAGTTGGAAGATCTATAAATTTACAACGCATTCACCAAATCACAGATGCTAGAAGCAGCTGCTTTTTTGAAAACATGCGGAAGTAGATCCCATGTCGACATGTTGTACTTTTGGCAGACAAGTAAATAAAGCACTAAACAGGCAGAATGGCTCCTCAAAAAGGTAAACTGCTCAAGGGAGCGTTCAGAAGCAGATCTGTGTTCTTCTTCATGCATTGTGTAACCAAGCTCTGTATCATGCAAGGCCAGCTAAGCACCATGTGTTTTTGTCCTCTTTATTTGACTGACAAATGAGAAACACTGCCTAGTGATTGTGTGAGCAAGGCAATACAAAAACTACAAAATTCATATTTATATGTAAAATCAACACACACACACACTTCAGAGCCACGGTAGTTCTGCTTTCCCCCTATCCATGATGCAAAAGCACCCTGATTGCTGAGATGTTTCTGCTGTCTTTTATTTGTCAGCTGCCTGCCAATAAACAGCCTGCTTTCTTTATTCCTCTTTTGCAAACATGGATGATGAGATAATCCTGTCATATCTGAATGTTTTTAACAACACGCCTGAGCGACATTTATACAAGATCAAATAAAAACAAAACAAGGGTTGTGACAGCAAATAGCCATTCAAAGCACACTTATAGATAGCATGGCCGAGTGGCTGTACAAACACTGCTTACCTGCTGTTGAAGGGGTTCTCCCCTGCCACCACGTGACTCCCGCTGGGCCCCATCAGGAACGCCACACGCTCGTAGAAGCTCCTGGAGGTCGGCTGGCCAGCTGAGTTCTGGCCCTGCATTGCGGCGGCGGCGGCAGCGGCTGGGTCCAGCGAGCCTTTACACAACGTCTGACCCTGGCAGGAGATCTGAGTGCAGCAGTCCGGGTCCATGCAGTCCACCAGGCCATCTGGGAAACCAGGTTTTTTCTTTTAAATATGTGAATCTCATCGACGAATAGCATATCAGGCACTACAGTGGACAGCTACATTTATTTGACATCAGTTTTCCAGTTTCACAAGTCTGTATCTCAAATCAATAGCTCTCGTAAACAGCTGTTTGAAAGTTGTTTCCTTCTCGCAGTCACTACAGTGGGCAGCTATTTAAAAGTTGTTTCCTTTGATCTGTGCCTACAGTGGGTAGGTCATCAAAAGTTGGTCTGTGCTAGAAGCCAGAGTCTGCATATCAAAGTTACACATAAATCACTACAGCAGACAGTTGTTTGAAGGGTGTTTTCTTCAATCAGTCACTGGAAGATCCTCTTTTCTATACGCGCCTCAATGCCAAATCGCATCTCAGTCACTACAGTTGGAGACTGTCAAAATGTCAGAGTTGTGCATTTGTCACCGCAGTGGACAGCTAGGTCCAAACCGAGGCCATCTGGTCGAGAGAGGAAAGCAGGACAGTGTCTCCATTACGCGTCAAGCTCCGGTGCTCCGGTGACCTCACATGTGCACTGGGCATCATTAAAGTGACAGTGCGGATTGCATTATTTAACAATCACCTCAAGTGACCTCCAAATTTGTTGATGAGACGTGCACAGAGTGCCGTGTTCATGCCAATGAGGTTTCTCTTCATTATTATCCAGATGCTTAACATTTGAAAGCTTGAAAACACAGGCCACCATGCTAAGGGAACTTTTAAAAAGTCTTCGGTCACTCGACTGGTGTTTTCAACTGTGTGTTTAAAAAAAAAAAAAAATCTTACTTGTTTCTTCTTTTGCAGTTTTTAAGAGCTTTTGTACCGTTTTCAAGCAGTTTTGTTTTTATTCTATTCGGTCTCTGGACTCGTTTGACCAGATTTAAAAAAAATATTTGGACTGTTTTTTTTTAATTTGTTTTGGAGACATTTTGGACGAAACCATTTCTTGGCTGTGCTTTCTGTGTTTTGTGACTTGGTTGTGACATTTAGTTCTTTTAAAACTGTCTTTAGACTGCTTTTTTGTTTGGTGACTTGATGTTTGACTAGGTTGTTGACCCTAAACTTGTTTCTGGGACTGTTGTGGTTGTTGTTTTTAACTATTAACTTGTTTTTTTTAAAAAAACAATGTCTTGATAACTTTTATTTTCAATGGCTTTATTTATTTATTCATTTGTTTATCTGACGTTTGATTTTTTTTTACTGTATTTTCAGTTATATGAATTGATTTCCGACTTGATTCTTTATTTTTTAACTTGGCTTTAGTCAGGCTTCTAACTTATACTGGTGTTTGATATTTTTTAGACTTGGGTCTTTCCCTGTTTTATTACATTAGCTGTTGTTTTCTTAAAAAGTGTTTTTGATCTTGTTTTTTTGACTGTTAGAAGCTTTGTTTTTTTTTCTTCTTTTTTTGTACTATTAATATCTCTGATGTGGCAATTTGAGTGAATTTTTCAGCGTGAAAGTGGCTTCTGGTATTAAGTCGGACGATGGCAAGTTCATTCAACCATTCCTCATCTGCACCATACACGCCAGGCCAAAATGAGATTTAGGCGACCAGCTTGAACCGGTTAATCTCCATACCTCCCTCATTGTCCTTGCCATCTGAGCAGAGCGTCTCGGTGGCGACGTCACATCCCAGGCCACGCCATCCCGACTGGCAGATGCAATGCCAGACGTTCTGATCCAGGACACAGCGCCCGTTGTTGTTGCACAAGCCTGGGCAGCCGTCTGTCAACACATCGTGGAGCAATGTCACGCACCAGCACGACAAGGAGAGGTGGGTGGGAAAGTGGGGTTAGAGAGTAGACAGTAAGCAGAGGAGCAAACACAGAGTGCAGAAGATGTCTGACAGGACTTGGGATGTGTGAGAAGGTTCTGTCGATTCACATGAGTGCGTCGGTGTGATAAAGGTGTCTCGGTGACTCTTAATTAGAGCAGGACCAGGACCCCTGTTGGAGCTTTCAGGTGGTCTCTAAAGGTGGTATTGCTGATCTTGGAATGAGGTTCCCGTGGGTCAAATTGCACTCCACAGTGTAGAAACAGCGAAACACTGCACACTAATGAGATGCAATACAAAAGTTGGAGCAAAAACAAACAAAAAAAAAAAAAAATCTAATTATGTCGGAGTTTTGATTGGGAAGGAAAAACATGATTTCCGAATGTACCTGAAGACAACACCCAACTTCATTAGATTTTGTACTTGCATAAATAAATAAATGGATGAATGGATAGATAGATAATGTTTGAATTGATAGATACAATTGTATCCTGTATAAATAAATAAAAAAGGTTTTGGGTTTTTTTTTTGTTTGTTTTTTACACAGCTCTTGTATTGCATCCTATTGACCTGTATATATCGATGCAGATGAACCACATGGGAACATCACTTTTTTTCTCTTAACATTTCTGTAAATCCTGGAAGGGGCGGGCGGCCCCCATTTTGGGCTGACTGCTCATGTGAAGCAACAGCCACGGTGACTGGGGACAAGGAAGCCTTTAATGTCAAATAAGAATCATAATAAAGGCAAGGGGTTTGGGAAAGGGAAGCGTTGGCATCCTGAGCGTCTACATGTACAGAGAAGGACAGAGCACTGGCCTCCACAAGGCCCAAACAAACCACAGCAGCTCCACTGGTTAAGACAAGGAAGAGGGGACGGGGGGACCGTGGAGTCTACTGGTTCAAGACGGACAGGGAATGACGGGACATATCAGAAGGAAAAAGGGAGTTGGGGAGACATCATGGTCGACTCGGACATAGAACAGGTGTATCAACGTCGTGCTAGCGGGGAGACAAAGAACGGAAAGGGGAGTGGGAGGTGATCGTTTGTGACAATCTCCCTTGGGGAGGGTTCAGTTTACCTTTATATCCTATCTTGACCGCTCCTATTACACAACCCAGGAGAGGGAAACATTTAGGAAAAAAAGGGAACAGAAGTGACTTAGCTAAGGCTGACAAAAAAAAAAAAAAAAACTAAAAAAAGAAAAAAAAACATTTACTTTTTCCTTGACAGTCGATATAACGCATATATAAAATCACCACGCACCAACGCTCACATTCTCCGTGGAGCCAGAAGGCCGAAACTGTAACTCTAAGTGCTAGGGAGTAGTCAGTATGTTTGAGGCAAAATAAAGAAGGATCAAAATAGTCAACAATAAGCAGGGATGAACCATTAGGAGACAAGGGTAAGGGTAAGAGAGTTAGGCGTAGGAAGTTTGGGTTCAGGTCAAGGATTGTATTTGGGATGAGGATTAGGCAGATTATAGGATGAATGGTGAAAGTAAATGCTGTTAAATGAGGAGAGGGATTAAAATTTGGGGTTGGGATCAAGAGATTAGGGCTAAGGTTAAGGTCTGTGCCCTGTGATTTGCTGGCGACCAATCGACTGTGCAGCCAGCCTTTCGCCCAAAATCTGCTTACTGCTTGGTTTACTGCGACCACAATGGGGCTTTCACACCACACTTCTGGCTTGCCATATTTGTTGCTGGTTGCTAAACGACTGAACAGGAAGAGGCCCGGTGCATTTTCCCCTCTTGTTTAGATGTAAAGTAGACTGCAGTTCTATAACATGGATTTATCGCCTTTACAACAAAACTTACTTTTACAGAGGAGGAGGAGTCGACGAGCGGCAGTAAGAAAAAGGAACTGGGCTCCTCAGATTATAAAGACACAGCAGAATTTTGGGAAAAACAGGCTCATCCTTTGGATGCGCCATCTGATGTCAAGGAGGCACTGCACCCAACTTTAACATTTTTCAATCTTGGCCTTTCATGGGTCCACTGTGGCATCACAAACAAATAAATGTGTTCGTCGATGGCACACTGCGCTTTTCTTTGTGCGGTATGAAAAGCCTTTCATGTGTACAGAAAATGGATGGATGGGTTAAGGTTTGTGTTAGGGGTGAGGGCAAGGCAAATTAAAGGAAGGTCTATTTGAGGATAAAGTGTCATTTTTAATAATGGAATGCCATCATCACTTTATAAAAAGTAAGCTTTTAAGCCGAGGGCTTTTTAAAATGGTGGCACGCTGGAGCAAGAGGTCAGCAAATGTGCCTCACAGTTCTGAGGTTGGGGGTTCCAATCCAGCGTCCGGCTTTCCAGTGTAGTGTTGCATGCTTGGCGATTTGGTGTGAATGTAAATGAATTGTTGATTGTTTATATGTGACCTGAAATTGGTTGACCAGGGCACAGTATAGCCACAACCCCTTGCCCAAAGTCAGCTGGGCTAGGCTCCAGCACATTTGCGACCCTAATGAAAATATGCCAAATTGATTTTCTTTTGAAGGAGAGTTGGAGTAACATGGAAGGCAAGGGTTAGGAGGTACTATTAGGGAATCCATTTTGGGTTTGGTTTGGGTTATGGTTAGGGGCGGGGTTTAGTGCTAGAGTTAGTGGGTTGAGGTAATGGGATGGGATTAAGGGTTAGATTTGAGTTAGGGTGTATACTTGTGTTCGGAATTGGGGTCAATGCTTGAGGGTGAAGGTTATGGGTAAGGGTCAGGGGTTAGGACTGCTGCGCCAAAGCAAAGCAAACCAAAGCATACCTTAACTCCCATGAATACATCTGCTTGTTCAAAATCAATACATTTTCTTGAAAAAATAAAAATAAAAAAATCAAATTTCGGTGGAGCCGGAAAGCCAACGCGAAACATGAGTGGCGGGAGGTATTCGACATGTTAGCGGTAAAACAAAGGTGGATTGTAACAATCTGCATGATGAGGTTATTCTCAAGCAAAGAGTGTGCTGTTTTGTTTTGTTTTTTTTTCTTTTACCTGACACTCTGGAATCCAGGGCTTTACATGGACGCCAAGAGGAGATCAGAGGAAAACAAAGAGGAAGGAAGACAGGAACATAGAAAAAGACAATTATTCTAAGACCATGTCCACATGAGCCAGTAATTTCTTGATTAGTTAAAGAGAAAAAATACATATATATTTTTGCAGGTTTTTAAGTGTGTGACAAAGCGACAGGTGGCACTTTAATCCTCCTTAATTTGCTTAAAGCATGTTTTTCATGAATTTTTCTAAAAATACTCATATTTAGCATTCATCTCATGCACCCACAGGAGGACGCACACGCACCCACCCGAATCTGCATACGCGGAAAATATAAATGTCAAAAAAGCCTGTTTTTGATTAATTTTTATCCAGCCCATATTTACCCTTTGTCTCGCGCAACCCCCTATGGACGCTTGTAAACCCATGAAAATTTGCACCAATATTTAATGATTTGTTCCATGACTCATGCCATCCCTTCATATGAATCAGGTGAATCGATTTAAATATATAATGGTTCAAACAAAAATAAATCATTTCTGCTTCTGTGCACCACCTACAAAAAAAAATAATAAATAAGACTTGAAAAAATGTTCTTGCATTTGAAGCTCCTATTTAACATGAATATTTATTCAATGAATCACATCTGGGGGGAGGGGGAAACAAGTAATTCTTATATTATAGTTTTTCTAACTGCCCACACCGGTGGAAAGCCATCTCATTGTCCCCCCCTCCACCTCCAAGTTTGACAAAAATATTCATGTGGACATTATCTAAATTGGAGTTAGGCAACAAGACAAGACAGAAATAAACAGATTTAAAAGCACACAAAAGAATACACAGATGAAGGAAGACAAGTCATCATTTTCATCCATTTTTTTTTTTTCATCATGTGTGTGAGTTCAGTGTTAGACAAAATTGTGAGATGTTAATTAAAGCGGCGAGTGATTAAGAAGAATCCCAGATGCCGGCCATTAGCGGCCATTCGAATCACCGCCGAAACGACTCGGTCTAAAAACGCTCGCTAAAATATTCATTATGAACATTCTCCGTCTGCTTTGATTTGGGGCTAATGGGCTAGCACAAAGGAAAACACTGTTTCTCTTGATATGTGCACCTCTTTGTTTGCCTTGTCGCCTTCAAACACCAGTGGGCTCAAAGCAGATCCATGCAGAGCCATTAAACGGAATATCCGAGTGTCTTTTTCCGACGCCAACTCGGCTTTGATGATAGCTGTGAATTGAACACCTCAATCTGTAGTGCAACGGCTCATGGAACAGGATCACTATTATGTTGCTAAAGAATAGTCACGGAAGCCGTACAGGCGAACTCTGGCCTTGCAAAACGAGATTAAAAGACACTTTATGGACAAATGTAGCTCTTAGAAAAGTGGACGTCATTTGAAACAGGGGCACACAAAAGTATGAAGGGAACATTTAAGAAAGTCCGATAGAAGACTTGAAGGCTGATTCAATTCAAGAACTCTTGTCTGTTGAATCCAACCGCTAACACACAGCGAGCTTGTCTTTCTCTCTGAAAATTTTAGTTAAACCGATTTTATAAGTGAATTAAGTAAAGTAAATGAAAGAAAGACCATTTACTTTTAAAATACAGAAAGGTGGACAAATATGCATTTTTTTTTATTAAAATTAATGCATTTTCTTATGTAAAAGAGTTGCACTCTTTGGAAGTCAATCACATCATAATGTAATTTTGGTTGATTACTCAACTGTAGTAACATATCTCAATTGTGAGACAAATAAACGGTTTCTTATCTTTTTTATATTTTTCTATAAAGTCTTCCAAAGCTCAAGTTACAACTGGAACATGAAGGGTAGCATATAGCTTTGCCATAATTTTGCTGGGAACATTCAGGGATCTGGAATTTGACCGTCTCCCCCTGCAGTGAAGAAGCCTTGCTAGACAGCAAATACATAATTAATTGCCGGCAGTCTGAAGTTGCTGGATCTTTTGTTTCCGAGGTGGCGCACGAGAACATGGAGCAAATGCTGCAAGTGGCCACTCAGCGATACGGCATTTCACGCTACATGTCGAGGTTCAGCCGACAGAACGCAGGTCAACGGTAGGAAGCGACATCTCCAATGTCATTATCCTCATTAGCAGCAAGTGAAGTGCCGTCATTTCATGGAAAATTATATTCCAAAGAGGACTTCACTTGCTGTCCGCCCTTGACTCACTAATTCCAGAGTTCCACTTCACCAAGAGAAAATGGTGGTTGATAGAAATGATTATCCATCCAAGGTGAGACGATGAAAACCGTTCGACGGTGTCCTTTCATTGAGAGAATCGCCCCAAAAAGTATTTAATTTTTAATGGCATTATAAGGTTCTTCACATGGTGTCGTGTCCTTTTTTGTCATTCAAAAAATAAAAAAAAATAAATTAAAAAAAAAAACTTTAATAGGATGTCCAAAACGCGGACACACCATTAATGTCATTTTTTATGACAAAAATGGACATAAATGTTTTTCACAGGGCAGCAAACGACTTGCAAAGATCATAATGATCATTTTTAATTGACACTCGTGGCACAGTATGAGGTTTACAATTAGCAGTAGTTGATGTGGTGTACAACTGTACTGCATCATATGAAGCTATGTAGAGCGTCAAAATATTAGAAACAGCCCTCTGTATGAGGTTTAAACGTATTGTTACATCATAAAACTCTTCAAAAGTGCTGACAAGATGGCGTACCTAATGGTGTGACATATGCTGGGTAGTGCGAGTGGATTTTTTATTTTTTTTTTCTTCACAACACTGAACCCACTGACATTCACGCTTCAAGGTTGCTCATGTTGCCTCCACAATCTGTGGCCTTCTGTCAGGTGTCGGCGTGTGTGTGTGTGTGTGTGTGTGTGTGTGTGTGTGTGTTTTTGTAGGTTACGTGTGTTGAGACGTCTAGCTCACCGATGGTGCAGTGCTCGCCCGTCCAGCCCTGGTGGCAGTCACATTTGCCCTCACGACACACCCCATGGTCGATGCAACGCGGGTGACAGTCCCTCTGCTCACACTGGGCACCTGCCCAGCCCTCCTCGCAGTGACACATGCCACCCAGGCATGTGCCGTGAGGGCCGCAGTCCACCATGCACACCTCTGGAAGAAAAAAAAAAGTTTAAAAAAAAAACAAATAAAAAAACCCATCAGAAACATGTGCCAGCAGTGTGACCATTTCGCCATAAACTGCTTAACAAATGTATTGGCTTCTCAATTTTTGAGGGTCCAGGAACACCTGACAGGGGAGAAACTTTTCCCCTGAGCCATGACAACCCGAATGTCAATTAAACATAATTTCACGTGTGCCTTTCATGCCATGGGAAGAATTACGTTTTGAGGGGGGTGGGGGGGATGTTTATTTGAATAGCATCATTCATACATTAGGCAAATTCACCGTGTTTTACAGAGGTAATGAAATCCAAAACAAGATTGAACTAGAAGATGAAAATGAAGATAAATCCCAACGAAACACTAAAATTGCAGAACGCATTCAACATAAAAAGAGCAAGATGGTGAAATATTTAGATGAATATATGATGCTTTATGAAAAAAAAAGGAGCAGTGAGCCATTTTTTTTTTTTTTTCCCTGGCCGGATACAAATGTACCGACAGTTTGAGAAGGAAGATTCAGATTGTTGTTGCCATTGTGCAAAATGATATAGTCAGTAATTCCAACTTTTCAGACTTCTCTCATGAATGTTTAAAACAAAAACAATTCGTGAGTTTAAGTTCTAAAAAGAAACAGGCAACATGAATCATTTTCAAATTGCTTCCCATATGACAAGAAAGGAGGTCGGTAGAAGGCGGTCGTGGAGTCATTTGCGCTGAGCGCTGCCAAAGACATGGTGCCCACTAGACGTGGCAAAAGCAGTGATTCTGTCACGTTGGAAACCTTTGACACAAGGTCTGTGTTTCCAAGTGGTTAATATTTTCTCAAGGTCACATTGCCTCACCTGTACAATGCTATATGAGAAAACCCCAAGAGAAAGCTAGAAATGTTGTGCACACAGAGTGATGTCGCATGAACAGAACACACTTTCATATGTATGGACAGCGACACATAGTTGAAAAGCAAAAAAGGGACACAAGTAGCTGTTAAAAACAACATTGCACAGAAAATAAGTGATCCACAATACTTTAAAGTCCTTATTATAACGTGACGGGATGATAAAAATTAAGATGTAAGATGTGGCTTATCCTTTTGTTGTACTTGAGCGCTCGTTTTTGAGATATGACACCTTAGACAGTCTAAATAGTAGGATGCTGCTACCGAGTGATCTGGTGATTAATGTCATCATGGCACATGACAAGCTCGTTTATAATCATGCAGTTAATAACACGGTTAGTTTGGAAGCAGCTTCTCTGAGTAGGATGAAATATATGTCCGGTGTATCTAATGTTTCGTAAAGTACTATATCTGACGCATTCCCTTGAATTGTCCATCTGAAAGACGGTGTTCATTATTTGGGAACGTAAAGGCACCATAGCTATATTTTCCTTATTTGTCAGGCAGGTAAATAAACCTCAAAATGCACTTTCTTTTGGGAAACTTCAACAAACCGCGGCTATGTTTTACTCATTTGTAGGGATGCAAATAAACTTTAGCTAAGTTTTATTTGCTTGTTGGGAACATAAATAACCGGTAATTACATTGTGTAAACTTTTTGGGAACGTAAACATACCTCAGATGCGTTTTTACTTGTAGATGGGAAAAACAAACACACCTTGTCGATGCTGTACTGGCTTGTGGGTAATCTAGACAAACCTTAGATGAATTGTACTAATTTGTCAAGATCATAAAAAACAAGCCTAAAACAGATAGTATTCATAACCTGATTGGTTTGGTTGACACATCCCTCACTAGGATAACAGATTGGGCAGGTGTACCTAATGTTTTACCCTGTAATGAAGTATGACATCCAAGACTGCTGTATTATCATCTCCCCACATACATAAAGTCATTTAAAATGCATATATAATTACATTCAGTGAAGGCACATTCAAACAGCAGTGGCAGACTTAGAACTCAGCCCTGTGGGACTCCCTTTGTTTCACAGTCAGGCATTTCTGTGATGTTTCTCCCTTCGCTTTTTCCTGTGTTTTGTTAGCACTTTTCTTGTATCTGCAATGACATTGTTGATGTCATATCAAGTGCCATCGACTTGGGATGTTCATTATATGACTTTTAGATTGCTTTTAAGACCCTCAACCATTATTCCTTTAACATGCTATAATGTACACACACCTCTTGATTTTAATACCTCTATCGCGCTAAAAAAGTCAAAAAATTTCACAGGCGTGCTCATCCCGATAAAAATTTACATTTGGGGGGTTGTGTGGGTGAGCCTCAATAGTACGCTTACCAGCAAAAAGCATCAATAAGCTATGACTGAAAAGACACAGGTAGTTGTGTGTTTTGGTTTAAAGCTGCTGGTTTAGGGTCATTTGGGCAACGATGAGGGAAAATTGAACATCTCAGACAAATTTTGCCCAATTAACACCAAATTTGAACCATGTATACGAAAGTTGATACAATGTTGCAAAAAGTTTTAGCTTTTGTCATTGTGTACGGGCAGAGCATGAAAGCTAGTTAAGCAATGGTTCATGAAATTCAGGTGGTTATTTACTTCTTGAAAGTCGAAAAGCAACAAAAGTGCTACGAGTCACATTGCCTGATTCAGAGACGTTCAGAACACACCACACAAATTTTGTATTATAGCAATTGTGTATCTTATTTTTTTGTCCTGTATTTATTGATGCAAGGCATGTGGGAAGAGTAGTGTGAAGAGCATCTAAACAGGCTCCCATACGTCGTCTGGACTTTGACAACAGCAAAGCGGGCCTCTTTGAGTCGGCGTTATCTGGCCGAGGCGATACATCAGAGTGTGGTGGGCCGAGGCTAACACTAGCCGAGACGCGAGGATAAAAAGTGTGACAAACAGCACGGAAGCTGGAGTGTGTACTCACAATCATAAGTGGCTCCAAGAAATGTACATGAGCCTTCAAAATTTCACACTTTAACTCAAAGCATTATTTTGCAACAATTCAGCACGTGCATTTTGCTCACGCACATCCACCTGCACATTTTTCTTGACTCCGTGTTAATGACTAATTCCATTTCGGCATTCCAAAATGCATCGTTAAAAATACCATTACATAACTTCAGCATTAAATGTAGAGGAAACTGCGGTTTCACTCATTTCCAAAGGGTGGAGAGCTTCCTCGTTGTCACAAACACTTTTTCATCCATGTCAAACTTTTCCTTTCTTTGAGAGATGCTCGCGATTAGCCGCCCACGCACCGGCACCACTACCCCACCCTCTGCTTACACTGTAGAATATTAAAAGCACCTCTTGGGGGACAGTCATCAAATTGGCAAAAGGTTCCTCCTTCGCAAAGAATCCATGTAATCAATTTTTCATTAGCTGCAAAGTGTTTATCTGCTTTGAACACGCCGCGGCCGCATGAAGGTTTGCGGGCGGTCGATCACAGCCGCCACGCTTGTTAATTAAAGTGTATTTAATTGAAGGAAGAACTGCAGCATTAATTGTCCAGCTTGTGGAAATTCCCTACTCACCCCGGCGGAGTAACAGAGTCCCTTATTTTTGGGCCGAGACGATCTGCTATCGGCAATTTCGTGATCCGAGCTCAATGAAGACTTAAGAGAGACATGAAAGGAAAAAGAATGTCTTTGTTGTGCAACCTTTTATTTTCTTTTGGAAGGCCAAACAATCTCTGTGCTGTGTTAAAAAAAAAAAAAAGGGCAATAAGTCCATTTGTAATACATAATAGTGGGTCTCTTGTTGTCATGGTAACAATGAATCCTTTTTGTGGTATAGAATATAGATGGAATGACCTGGAAAGGTCTTGTGCTGCGATAACATTGCTGCTCACTTCACTGTTAATTCCGCGCCAGTGGCGCAAATCTTTGAGAATGCGTTCACAATTTTGGTCAGGTTGTCAATATTTGGTAAATATCATGAAGAAGATTCAGGGCACTAACTAAATGTCATTTCTCCACAGCATACTCTCAACACTATGTACATTTGGGGCGGTCGTTTTTTTTCTCTGAAAGTAGCGAGAAAGTGCTAAAACTGTGCCACATTGAACGCATCAGGAGACACACTTAACTTTGTTCACCAATAACAAATGGAGGGGACGATAGATGTTTTATCCAATAAGATAAGATAAGATAAGAAAACCTTTATTTGTCTCACAATGGACAAATTCCCAATTTACAGCAGCAAAATTATGAAAGGGAGAAGTAGAAGAACAAAAGTATATGAATAAATATAAATGATAACATATATATATATATATAAAAGCATATTAAAATGGGTGGGTGGGGGTGAGTTCAGGTTTTCAGGTCTGTCTATTCAATAGCCTATAGTGTAATCCAATAGTGTAATGTAATTGTTTCTTGCTAGTTATTCAAGATAGCTGCTGAAAAGAAATAAACACAATCATGAAAAATAATCCACCAATTTAAAAAGAAAAAAAACATGGCATGTTGAGTCAGGCACAGGCACACTTGTGCACAATGTATGTGTCATACAGATAATGCGATGGCTCCTCTTGCCAGTTCTTCATGACAAAGCCTTTGAAAGGCCACTTAACTCAAAGAAATAAACACAACGAAAGTAACCACTGTGAAAAAAAGTCCACAGCACACTCAGTCACAGGCGCGCGCAATGAACAAAGTACAAGTCATCATCAATGCGATGACTCTCTGACCAGTTGAGGAGTACAACGCAAAAGCCCACAAGCACCATTTAGACGGCACTGTTAGCCCTTAGATGCATGACCAATCAACGACCCCAATTAGAAAGAATGCATTTCTGAAGAAATGTCTCTCATTTTGGTTAAAGATGATGATTTTGAATATATTTTGGTCAACAAAAGATTTCTTTCATGTTTTGCATGTTAATTGATGACTTCTTTATGAAACATTACTGAAGATCACAAAACAGCATGAGCTTGGTCTTCTGCCCTAGCCAGAAGACCAATCTGTGTCCAACTGGTGTTGTTCATCAAGGGGAGGGGGTTCATTTCAATGAGATGATGCATTTCTAATAGGTCTGACAACTCCAGGTGGACAAAGGTGTGGGTTGTCTTCACCTGAGATATCAAATCCTGAGTCAAGCCCCATAATAGGCTCTTTGTCTCTATCGGGATCATTTGTATAGCAGCTTCTAAAAGAGTCTGAACAGCAATGATGCTCTCAATGAGATTATACATTATTTTATGATAGACACAATATAGACACACAGGTAAAACTAAGAATCAATAGCTGCACAAGCGCATGCACAAATATACACTGAGACACGTGTGGACAGACACACACTTGTCACTGAGTAATCGATTATAGTACGCCTACAATAGGCCATCTAATGGGTTGTATTTTATTACAGGAGGCTGGAATAAGATAGTAAGAGTCTGTTTCTCTCCACAACAAAAGCAAAGATGTTAGCTGGTGTTTGTTTAGTTGGCTAATGTAGCTAAGTCCAAAGTCGTTATGCAAAGTAGGTAAATAAACCCCATGACCTTTCCGGATTTAGAAATAAACTTTCATGGATACAAGTATTGTTTGTCTTTCTTTCCAAGGGTTTGTCTTTTCCATGGATTTGGAAAATAAGTTCATATTTTATAACAGCACATGAAACATGAGGTATAAAATGCTGAAACATGAATGTTGTGTTGCTATGAAAATAACCTTTCGTGGTCAGACTCCTGTGATTAGATATGTGGATCTACAGTTAATGTGTAGCCTTGATAAAAGTCAAAGGTTTGCAGGTTTAAACTTTGAAATTCCATCAAAAGTGCTTGGGGTCATATTTGACCCCACGAAACAAAAAGTGGGGTATCAAAACAAACACTGCAAAAACTTAAAAACTATAACATTTAGATACTCCAAATAATTTTATGTCAAAAACAACCTATTTGAAGAATACAGGGAGGATTACAGGATACAAAGAGTTGTTTGGTTGTTTTAAATACACATGACTTCTGTTTGCTTAATGCTTAGTTTGATAGTAAACCAACTGGGAGTGGCAATAAACAGCAGGGAGGGTCTTTTTTGAAACCTTGTTCACTATAAGCCAAAATGCTGCTTCTTGTGAAGTGAGTTGAGTGCACTGCCACCAGACAGCGCCCGTCTTCAAATTTTTGCTCACAATCCAAAGCAAAAAAATTGCCACATCCCTCTCACCAGATATTCATGATGACGGCTACATTTACACAATACAAATAAAGAGAACATCTCCAAATAATCCATAAAGACAGTCCACATAAATCAGTTTGGCATAACAGATGTGAACGTCTGGCCTCCGCAAGAACACATCGTCCCCTTGTAATCAAAAGCAAAATCCTGATGACAAATTAAGAGTCTCAGATGGGAAACGCCTTTAAGAAAAAAAAAATGAACACGACTTTTTATCAAAGAGTGATTAAGGTTGCGAATAAATCTGCGTCTCATATTTTCTAATAAGATACTTGGGTGACACCTTGAGAAAGAACATATGTCGGGTCCAGCAAGATTAATGCACAGTGTCAGCATCGCATTGTTAACATATGTCGGCCCCTTTCCAGCAAGCAGCGAGCGCGACAAGTGTCACAACTTTGCACCTACTTTGACTATCTCCGACGCAGAGCATAATGAAGCTCCGGGAAGTCTTTTTTTTCTCCCTGTAATTTAATCAAGGTTGTAAAAACAAAGCGCGTCATCAGGAATTCATAAAGCCAGGGCCTGGCTCGCATTCATCAGTTTCCAGACTTTCAATCAGCGGGACATTGCAAATGAATAACTTTGGGTTTACGAAAGGAGAGGGAAAGACGGGAGAAATAATTTGATTTAGCCGTCTTTCCTGCTCAAAGACTTTCATGTCCAACTGAGTGAGGGAAATAAATTATTCCCTTGTAGGCGGATACAATTTTCAAAAGTCTCGCTGATTAATTACCGCAGATTGAAATGTGAGAAATGAGAAGTCAAAGCAAAATGCTTACCAGTCACTTGATGTTCCATATATTTACATGAGGCTCAAACTCTTAACAACACAGAATTGTTGGATTATCAAATATGAGCAATTTTTTTCCACAAAACTGTGAAAAGCACACTACATTAAAAGCAGAGTCACATTCAGAAACAACAATAGGGGCACAATTGGTCATGCATATGAAATTATGCAAGATTAAAGTGTAACACAATTACTGGAATGCAAGAATTACTTGCGCAAAAGAAATGCACAGAACGACTCCTGAAAAAAAAAGTTAATGGCACGCTGGATCAAATCAGTAACTCTCAGTATGCACAATACAAATGAACACAACCACAGCAAATAATCCACACAGTCCAAAAAAATTTTCTGCGGCACACATTTTGTCATATGCATGTAAGCATTTGATTATGTGATCGCTCCTCTTGCCGGTTATCCATGATAAACCACCTGGCACGCTCATTCACAAAATATACTCATATAACGCTACCGTTACTCTAGCTAGGTATTCATCAGACCTCCACCATGCACAATGAGAATGACCTGAAATAAACAGCCAAAATAGTCCATGGTACCCTCAGTCATCTGCGATTGGCTGGCAACCAGTTCAGGGTGTCCCCCCGCCTACTGCCCAAAAGACAGCTGGCATAGGCTCCAGCACGCCCGCGACCCTTGTGAGGGTAAGCGGATTAGAAAATGGATGGATGGACCCTCAGTCATGAGATACGATCATAAAATGCATGCAACTGTTCTTGTCGCCAGTTATTCATGACTGCCACGTTACCTAATAGAAATGCAACCTAAACAAACCAACAAGAAACTGCTCAACACTCCAAAAAGTCCACAGCAGGCTCGGGGTGTTTTGTTTGTTTGTTTGTTTGATGTGGCCATTTTCGACCAATTTTTTGATTTAGCCGTCTTTCCTGCTCAAAGACTTTCATGTCCAACTGAGTGAGGGAAATAAATTATTCCCTTGTAGGCGGATACAATTTTCAAAAGTCTCGCTGATTAATTACCGCAGATTGAAATGTGAGAAATGAGAAGTCAAAGCAAAATGCTTACCAGTCACTTGATGTTCCATATATTTACATGAGGCTCAAACTCTTAACAACACAGAATTGTTGGATTATCAAATATGAGCAATTTTTTTCCACAAAACTGTGAAAAGCACACTACATTAAAAGCAGAGTCACATTCAGAAACAACAATAGGGGCACAATTGGTCATGCATATGAAATTATGCAAGATTAAAGTGTAACACAATTACTGGAATGCAAGAATTACTTGCGCAAAAGAAATGCACAGAACGACTCCTGAAAAAAAAAGTTAATGGCACGCTGGATCAAATCAGTAACTCTCAGTATGCACAATACAAATGAACACAACCACAGCAAATAATCCACACAGTCCAAAAAAATTTTCTGCGGCACACATTTTGTCATATGCATGTAAGCATTTGATTATGTGATCGCTCCTCTTGCCGGTTATCCATGATAAACCACCTGGCACGCTCATTCACAAAATATACTCATATAACGCTACCGTTACTCTAGCTAGGTATTCATCAGACCTCCACCATGCACAATGAGAATGACCTGAAATAAACAGCCAAAATAGTCCATGGTACCCTCAGTCATCTGCGATTGGCTGGCAACCAGTTCAGGGTGTCCCCCCGCCTACTGCCCAAAAGACAGCTGGCATAGGCTCCAGCACGCCCGCGACCCTTGTGAGGGTAAGCGGATTAGAAAATGGATGGATGGACCCTCAGTCATGAGATACGATCATAAAATGCATGCAACTGTTCTTGTCGCCAGTTATTCATGACTGCCACGTTACCTAATAGAAATGCAACCTAAACAAACCAACAAGAAACTGCTCAACACTCCAAAAAGTCCACAGCAGGCTCGGGGTGTTTTGTTTGTTTGTTTGTTTGATGTGGCCATTTTCGACCAATTTCTAGGCGCAGCTGGGTTGTATATACAATCGAGCGACGTTCACTTTTACATCACATCACCATGAAGCATATCAAAGCCGCGCATACCTTGTACAATAGTTTGCCCCCAAATTGTATGAAAAGACTGTGTCATTCATTTTCAAGTCTGTTAATTAAAGCTAACGCATCTGTTGTTGTTCTGTGAGCGCATCAAAGGAAACGTACACAAACTAAGCGAATGTGTTGCCAGTTAATTTGAGTGTACAGTGTTGAAAGGCAAAATACGGACGCAGTACAAATGCAATGGGAGGTAATTAACTGCCTTTTGATGCCATGAAAGCAAAAAAAAAGGAAAATACACTTCCCACAAAAAATATTATTTTGAACATAAAAATATGTAAAAGTAATTTTTCGGGTTATTTGGAATGTGGGACGAAAGTGGAGTACCCGAAGAAAATCAATGCAAGCACGGGGAGAACATCCAAACATGTCACAGGAAGACCGGGGCTGGATTCTGACCCACAACCTCTGCACTGTGAGGCACACGTACTAACGTTGTCGCCGTCATGTTCACCATTTTTTTTTTTTTTTAAATTCAGTCCCCAAATTGGTTTCAATTCGCAATATGACATTTGGTGTAAATTTCTAGCATGAGTAGACCCACAAAAAAATCTCAAGAAACCATGTCTCAAAAGACAAAGGAAGTCGGCCATTTTGGTTAGCGATCAAATGCTCATTTTGGTCATTTCCAGAGGTTCTGAAATTCGTGATTCGTGTCTGTCATGTCTAGTTTCACAATATACAAAATTCAAGTCAAGACATTGTAATAATGCAATACATCACACAATATATTGCATTGATGTAGAAAAGGAAGTGAGTCTGACCTATGGAGCAATCAGCTCCTGTCCAGTTGTCCTCGCAGACGCACGTCCCAGAGTCGGTGTTGAAGGTTCCGTGACTGGAGCACTGCTCAGGACAAGTGCTCTTCAGGATCTCGCAGCTGATTCCTCCCCATCCCGGGTTGCAATGGCACTCGCCGTGATGACAAGTGCCATGTCCAGAGCACTTTGGGTCCACGCAGTCCACTAAGCGCACACAGTGAGCGATGTCACTTTAACACTTGACCACTTCATGTTAGTTGCATTCGAGATTATTTTCGCTTGAATAGAAATGCCACGGCTGCCTTTTTTTTAACACTCTGACCTCAATTGTACTTCCAGTCTAATGATATTCCATTAAAGGTGCGAGAAAAAGAAGCACAATTAGTGCCCCGCTAATACATAACTGCAATACTGCATCGAAGAGTGGTTGTCTGGTAGCACTGGATTGCTCAACATTGCAGTCTAAAATCATGTTCACTTGGTTCACTGCAGACTCTAGATTGTCTGCTTACAAAAATGTGTTTGGTTCATCTAAGACTTCCTTATTAATGACGTGTCATACTGTATGTTAAGTTCAATGAAAACTTTATATTGTCTCTAATTCTTACCAGATGGCATTAGGTTCATTGACGACAGACAACAACAGAAAAATTGAACAAGATAACAGCAATTGTCTTCATCCACCCCCATGTATGTGTGTGTGTGTGTGTGTGTGTGTGTGTGTGTGTGTGTGTGTGTGTGTGTGTGTGTGTGTGTGTGTGTTTGAAAGTATGTTAGTCCGGAACAAATGTACTTTTAACTCTAGACTCTAATTTCTTTGAAATTAACATACCACAGTACATTACTGAAGTTAAACAATAAACTGTCTTTGATGTTTCTAAAAATCTGAAAGGTTACACCAAAAACTGTCTTAATTTTTTTTCTTTTACAAGAAGCCAATTCATTAGTTATATGAAAGACTCTGACCTGTCTACGAAATGTACATTAAAATCAGGGAAGACTTAAAATGTCTCAAATTTCCATGTTTTACAAAAAAAGGAGGTATGCTGCTAAAAGAATGTTTACAAAGTGACGCACAAGAGTTGAATCGATTGGTAATCTTATCCAGACATGGGTTCTCCCTCGGCCATAGCCATCCGTCCACCACGAAAATACAAACTACAAAAGTAAATGAAAACAGTGTCTTCCCCATATTGCCTTCAAAGGCAAACCTACATTCATTCAGTTGCTTCGTGCATGCGAGGTTGCTAACCCGTGCGTGTAAATCTGATCCGATAATTGCCTTTGGCCGGAATGCAGGTCGATACCTTTAAATGCGCCCAAGCGGATCGGCCCTGTGAAAGGGTAAAGAATGGTGCTCTTTCCTGAACGATGGCATTGATTGATTGATCACAACGGGCGACTGCGAAACTCGACGATAGGTTAGCCCATTACCTGCCCAAGTTAATTTATTCACAGGGCGTCAATAACAACATACGATGCATTAGGTGCTCAACCGACTTGAAAACACACATTAAACAGCTACACGCAAATATTTTGTGTCCACTAGAGCAGTGTTTCCCAACCTAGGGGGTATGTGTACCCTTTTGTTCACATATCCTTGTTTATGTTTGTGGGTTCCTTTTTTACCGGTTCTCACCGGATCTAGCAAATCTAGCTCAATAAATGTTTAAAAACAACAAAAAATTCTAAATGTTAAATAAAACTGAACTGTATTGGCTCGGTGATTCTTTCGCATTACACTTCCACCCTATACTTTGAGAATCACTGAGTGAACCCATCCTTCATCATGGATATACATTTGACACCCCCGCTAGTGAGCAGGAAAATCCAAACTACAGACCGGGGGCCATTTGTGGCCCGCCATCCATCTTTCAGTGGCCTGTGACACGACCAAAAAAACCCTAAAAAGAACATTTGACATGGGCCACGTGTTTCGTTTAAAAAGGTGAAGGTGGGCAGAGTAAGCAGGGAGGGTGTCGGGAAAATAAGTTTCATTACGAGTAATATATTTGTTTATAAACTGTAGAACTTTAATATATATTCGAAGGTACGATTTAAAAAAAGAATTAATCTTCAGAACACTGTACTGAATCAAGATAATTCAATTTTAGAGGCAAAAATTGTTTCTTTCATTTCTTCCACAGCTGATGAAATTAACTCGACAATACAAACAATATATAATTGCTTTCTTGGCTGACTTTAGCGCGTTTCAAAAGCTGAAGAATTTTAAAATGGCCCTTTCACCCTTCCATTTTTCGATCGGCGGCCCTCAAACGAAAAAGTTTGGACACCCCTGCTGTAGCGAGATCATCTAAAAAAAAATTATGCATCCCACACTCGTGTAGTATGTCACAAAAAAAAAAAGTGCATTTTAGGTGTATTAAGTTCTTTTATGGCATTATAGTAAGTGGAACACCCCCCACCTCCAAAATAGATAAATAAATAATGAAATAGATAAATCGCATTACACAAGTACATACATTCTCCCAAAAATCAGCACTGTAGTGGGAAGAATATGTTACCTTGGTCACAGTTGCTACCTCTCCAGCCGGCATTGCACACACAGTTTCCCGCCACGCACACCCCGTGGCCCCTGCACTGAGGGTCCACGCACTGGCCCGAGGCCACATCACACTCGGTGCCCTTCCAGCCACTGTAGCACTGACAGCGCCCCCTGGTGTACTGGCCATTACCGCTGCACAGGACAGGGCACGCAGCTTGGAGATGTGGAAAAAAAAAAAACAAAGAAAATGAAGACAGTAAGTTCAGAGTAAATCCCGTTACTTGATTGACATACAAGGCAACCAATCAGATGACAACTGAATCACCGCACATGCGCAAACAACGGTGCTCAGCGCTAAGCTAGTCAGCGAATTAACTCAGATTTTAAGGCAGAGGTGCCCAATACGTCAATCGCGATCGACCGGGAGCCAGCGGACTGGTCCCAAGTCGAGCGCGAGCGTTGGGAGGAGGAAGTGGGGGCGAAAAAAAATTTGTGTGTCTGTGTTTCGATTTCATTCATGTTGGGTGACGTTCCGGCTGCCGCTCATCTCGGCGTGCGATGTATATGTATATGCTTGCACGTGCATTTATATGTACATCCTTGCACGTGCACGATCGGGTCGATCACGGGAGGTTCGTAGCTTCAAAAGTCGATCTTCGGTCAAATATGTACCAAGCTGACCCAAGTTGTAAGTAACCACTGCAGCTCGCGCGCGCGTGTGTGTGCGTGTGTGTGTGTGTATGTGTGCGTGCGTGCGTGCGTGCGATGTGGCTCTTTGCAGTAACACAGTAAAAAAATTGGCTTAGTCTCGGACTGGTTGGCTACCCCTGTCCTAAACCATCCCCGCCCCACCGACGCATGGCGGTTGCTTTTTTTCTTGTGTCATCAAAACGTCCTATTTCTGTCTGCGTTTTTCCAGTTTGTCAAACCAAATTGGGCAGAAGTATGTTGGCAACAAGAAATATTGGATTTTTTTTTCATATTATATATAGACACACACGCACGCGCGCACACACACACACACACCCACACACACACACACACACACACACACACACACACACACACACACACAAAGCAAATTAATACATTTTAAAAATCAGCAGTTTTACCCATCGTAGTAGCGGAAGTCGATGAAAGATTTACTTGCGCTGTCTTATATTTCAGGGGCAAAATGTGACAATTTAGGGACAGTTTGGAGCCCTGTTTTCATATATATATATATATATATATATATATATAGAGAGAGAGAGAGAGAGAGAGAGAAAGAGAGAGATAGACAGATAGATAGATGCATGCACACACACACACACACACACACACACACACACACACACACACACACACATATTCAGATAAAAGTGGATAATTACCTCTGGAACAGTACGGCCCGATGAATCCTGGGAAGCAGTGACAGGAACCCGCCATGCACTCGCCGTTCCCGTAGCAGTTGTGCGCACACTCGGTGACAGACTCTGTGGGAAGTCAGACTATTAATAAAGCATCACGCCACTGTCACCCTGCCGCAAATCTGGGGGAGATTGCTTTTAAAGTAACTTTTTGACAAGTGCACATTTCACCACGAGGCAGTGCCCCATCCAACCCCCCAGCACCAAGCATCCCTTATTTGTGTAAGATAGTGTATCCATTCCACTGCGGTTTAAGCCTCCGTAACATGTCTGCTCACGTCTGTCAAATAAAAGCCACAAAAGGCATATAAATTAAAGCAAATAATTACCTCAGCATGTATTGCCCCTGTCTTTCCTACTTTTTCCCCCAGCATCTCCTGCTTTTTTTTTTATCCTTCTATTGCGGCCCAACGCCCTAATGATCAAACCGAGCGGAGCAATCTCCCAAGTGTTTTAAGTCCTCTCCGTCTTGAAGTTAATCTGACACATCCTACAAGGGTAAAAGCCAGTGCTTGCTCGACAGACTCCCAAAAGACATCATTTTGATAAGTGTGAAGAGGGCAAACTTTTTTATTATGATGATTTTGGAGGGTGTGATTACTTTGGATTGTGGTGGATGTTCCACTTGTATTGGATGTTTCTTTCTGCTTCAGGTGGACCCTGGCAATTTCCGCCAGGCTCGTCAATACCTTCATATTTGGGAGGACCAAATCAATCAAAGCCTTGCCCCCCGGAGGAAATGGAGGCAGAAAAATATATCTCCAGCCTTTTTCGAAAGCCTACAAGTTGTTTGGCTGGAAGAATCAATGCTCATGCATGGCTTTTATTACAGTGCGGCAGCCAATGATCAGCGAATCTCCCAAGGAACAACTCTCGTTCACCTGCAAGGCTGCGGAAGATTGTCACGCAGGTGAAGCCAGAAAGGCCCCGCTTACTTCACAACAAGTAGACAGGGCTGACTTTTTTTTTCTTTCTTTTGTTTGTTGAAATGTTTTATGGACGGGCATCTAGGAAAAAAACAATGTCATATATCACCACTCAAAGAAGGTTAAATTAAAGGGTGAGTTTTCAGTTTTCACAAAAACCCCAAAACATCTTCCTTATCTTCCTCAATATGCGAAAACTGTCAGTGTCAAAGTGAGAGTAGCGCATTAGTAAAAAGATCTGTGAAAAAAAAAAGTATCCCTCTTTGACCTCATGTTGTGCCCTTTGATTTTTTTCAGAAAGGGAAAACAACCAATCAGAGACAGCAGGTGTGAACGAGAAGTCACACCCGAGCAACCTTGCGCTGACTTGCTTCGGCTCTAGGAGCTTTCCTGTGTGACTCCACCTTGAGACTACTATTGAACGTTCCACTTCACTTCATTCGGCCATGCAGGAGTTACGACTCATTGAAATAATTTTGGAAAGTTTCCAACTGCAGTATTTTCTGTCACTTTTTGTATTGCATGTTTTGAAAGAAGTTACATTGCGACCAAAAAAAATAAAGTTTTGTTTGTTGGATAACAAATACAATTTTATATTCAAATTAGACTCTTTGTGTTTGTCCCCTTTGTTCCTTCCTTGGGGCATTGCAAAGACTGCTAAGCATTGGTAAAAATGCTTTCAAACTCCCATTGATGCTCAGTAAACAAAACACCCATATGCTGTACTATAAATGTTACATGAACCTGCTAAGGGGCCTCAGATGCAAACTAGCCAACCACAAGAATATGTCACATGCAAAACTATCATGTGATCTCTCAATTTAAATACTGTATTCATAAAAAATAAAAATAAAAAAAAAATACAGTAAATAAGTTATTTAAAAGTAAACATATGCACGTATATATTAAATGCCTTTTGGGGTGTCAAAGTACAGAGGGCTGAAAACAAATGCGCACCATACCTCGTTTTGAAACCCTATATAATTTTCAATCCACTTCACAATGATGTGCGACTTTGTTTTGGTCTACAACATAAAATCTCAAAGTACACTCAAGTTTGTGATTGTCAGGTCACAAAATGTGGAAAATTTTCAAGGGGCAAGAATACTTTTTCTAGGCACTGTAGCATAACGGCCTGTTTATAGCCTACATTAAGTACAATGCACATCTCATGCACGTGAGTGAAGGGTGTGGCTCTGGTCAAAGGCCTCGGAGACCTGTTTTGAAAAGTCTCCAAAACAGTGGCCACCAATACGGTATTTGCAGTTCAAAACGGTCTTACCCTGAATGATAGTATTGTACGACACTGCCTCTATGCTGCGTCCATCATTGTAGAAAGCCAGGTGCCACACACCAGTGTCTAGGTACTGGATGAATCCCGCCTGATGGACCACCACCTGGTGCTCTGGGCGGGCTCCCCTCTCGGTATCGCTTGGGGCGCGGTGTTCATTGGAGATAAGGCGGCTGCCATCCAGGAGCTCCACAAAGTCGTACTGCGGAAAAGCGCACACGAAAGAAGGGTGAAAGGCTCTGGAGGAAGTGATTGATTTGATTAGAAGAGTGTGTTACTGTTAAGTCATACTTGGGTTTATATAAGATAAACCTAATATTCATAGCATAAATCTAATGCACAACACATAGAGTTGACATGGCAAACATGGGCAACAGCTTGTGATTGTTTTGACGACACAAGTGTATGTTTGTTAGGCCACACGTAGCTTTACAATGCGTGACATAACCTTAATATGGCACACACAATGTTAACGCGCCATACATAAACAACACAAAGCAAGGGACTGTTTTGGCTACACAGGTGTATGATTGTTATGCCATGAATAGCTTTAATATGCCCCACATCATTTTAACGAGCAATACGTAGCTTTTTTTCAACGTGCCATACACGAGCAACTTAAGTGAGTGATTGTTTTGACCATGCAAATGCATGTTTGTTAGGCCAATTGAGTTTAAATTGCTGCCTGTGAACAACAGTTGTATGTCACATTGGCACGAAGCTTTGTGAGTTTAGATTATTGCTCCCCTTTTAATTTTCTTTGCTTTGTCCCCAGATTAAAGAGAGCAAAAGACAAATTCAATAAATGATTCGTCAGAGAAATGTCACTGCATTTAGTTTCTCGTGTGGGGTTTTGTGCATGGAAATCCAATATTTAAGGAGAATGTTGATTTTACCGTCAGTGGGTATTAGCAGTGAGTTGCTGCACTAAAAGGGAGAAAAAAAACTCTCTCTCACTCTGTCTCTCTCTCTCTCTCTCTCTCTCTCTCTCTCTCTCTCTCTCTCTCTCTCTCTAGAATTGGCTTTGGCACATAATTTTATTTCTTTTATTTGCATGAAAATCAAAAGGTAATTCACTTATACGCCTGACAGATAGAGTTTGCAGAGGGCTGACAAAGTTTGTATTTGTTTTAAGTATGTAAATTATGCTGCCCAAAATGAATTAATTCAATTTGTTGAAAATAAAATTGTTTTCTGAAAATGAGTTCTTCAGGAAGGCAGCAAAGCAGAGATCTAAATGTACTTTCCCCCAAATAAACATCGACTTACAAGACAAACAAGGCGTGATTCCCGCCTGGCAAAATAATTGAAGAGGTGCATCCGCGCTCACAGCACCCGCTAAACAGCTGGACCTCATTTGGACCTCAACTGTGCAGCACGGAAGAAAACAACCCGTCCCCCAGACAGGCTAATGGGTACAGCGAAATACAGCAGATGCAGACAAGAGGATTCCCTGGTTAAAAACGTTCCACGCTCCATGCAGACAAACTGAGCCTCTGGGGCAGACTCGTGTTTGGAACGAAGAACCAAGGGGAAGCTTGCGAAGCATACAAATTGTCACAGTCTTTTGTAGAGAGCTCGGATCGGACTATAGCTGGCCTAGCAACAATACCAGAGAAAACAAAACTAAAGACTGGCTTGAGGCACAAACATCTTCCCGCTTGAGATGTCTTGAAGCCTGATGGTGAACGAACTGGAATATGCACTGACGTTAAGTAAGGTGTACCCTCTTATAATACAGCACCTTGGGTTGAACCAATTGGTAGATATATTACACGAGGGCAGCATTTCAACCCTGAAAACAAAACATTTCTTTCCGACTTGGAAAGTTCATGTGGTCGAAATGAACCTTCGGGGTCCAATCATAAGACGGAAATTGACTAGCACTGGAAGCCAAATTCTGACAGCAGTATTAACCATGTATGGGACTGGGAAACAAGAGGAATGATTCTTCCTTTGGTTTGTTATATAAAAATGATACAATCCATACTTCCAAGACTGGCCAACAGGCTGGAAATACGGAAATTACAGACACTATTGGATGGAAGTGAGTCAGAAAAGCTTCTCGGTGTGGTTGGTGTAGCAAATGCATACAAGTCATAGCAATACATGGCATGAAGTAGGACGGTGACAAAAATTGACATACGAACATGACTTGCAGGGAATACAGGATATGTGAGCGAGGGAAAAGACAATGAGTATCGCCGTATTGGAAAGGGAGGCCGTTGGAGGATTTACATATATGTTTTTGTTTGTTTTACAGGGAAAAACTACAACCATGAGCAAGAAGTTTAGAAGTTTTTCAGAACAGCTGCAGACCAAAGCTCAAAAATGGAAGTGGTTCACCGAACCTGAATTCTAACCCTAACTTCACACCACAACACTGACGCCAACCCTAACCACCTAAATCTAACGCCTAACTAGTGTAAATTCTGTTCCAACCCTACCCCCTACACGTCTAACTCTAACTTGGATTGCTGAGTCCCTCGACCCCAAACTGTAACATTCACATCTGTAAACCTAACCTAAATCCACCAATCCAAAGCCACCAACCATAAGAGCAGGTGTGTATTTAATCATTTGAGGGACCAAGCTAAACCCAGTCATGGGGCCCTCCACATTTGTGTATTGCAAACATTTTAAATACTGTTTGTCATCAATCAAAACTTGTAAAGTCCTGAAATTGATTCTTGAGGTTGGTCGAACACGTGCATCATTTCAACGCTTGCTGTAACTCAAAGGAAGAATTACCAAGATTTGATCATTCAAGTCTGCACATATGCAGTAAGAAGTTAGAAAAGTGCACTGTGTGCAAGAGAGAGGAGGAGCACTTGAAACAATCATAATTGATGAAGCATTTTGTTGTGTTTTTAAGTAGGTGAATTAAGATTGGAAAAACAATAAGTGCTTTCATCCATCCATTCATTTTCTAAGCTGCCTATCCCAGCTGTCTTCGAGCAGTAGGCGGGGGACACCTTGAACCGGTTGCCAGCCAACCGCAGGGCATGCATAGACGAATAACCATTCGCGCTTACACTCACACTTTGGGACAATTTAGAGTGTTCCATTAACCTGCCACGCATGTTTTTGGAATGTGGGAGGACACCGGAGTACCCTGAGAAAGTAATTACTTTCAATCAAAGAAAACTATTAATTTTTGGGGCACCTCAAAATCTTGGCATCCCAGGCCTATCTTACTTAATGTTAAGTCCCACACCAAACATCAACCCTAACCCCTAACCGTAACACTTACAACTCTAATCCTAACCTCAATCCGAAACCAAACACTACTCTGGAAGAATACACTAAATAACTAAAGTAACATTTTTCAGCTTGGACAAATTCAAAACTTTTACCAATTTTCAAAGTGTTCACACATTAAAGGAACCCTATGCTGCACCATGAATATTATATTTTTCAGAAGTACTGAAACTCAAGCGTTAGAACTGTGGAACAACCACCCGGTCGGCACCATCAAACAATCTGTTTCAAACATGCTGCTTTGCCTGCCTGTGGCAAATAGTGAATATGGCTTTAAATGAATGTTTCTGAAGGAAAAGGGCATAAGAAAATACATTGAAACAACATTTATTACCCAGATTTGTGACAGACAGGGACCTTGGGAACCATTTCTTTGGGCTGATTTTCATACTGCTCATGTGAAGTCGACCCTTTGATGGCAGGAGGGGGCAAGGAAAGGCGGCTAGGTGGATGTTATTAACCTGGCGGAAGTTGGCTTCTTTGTGCTGGGGGGAAGCAATAATACAGTCCCATCCCAATAGCTTAGAGCCTTCTGGTCGAGTGCATCCGTCTCGATGAGGTTGCTTGAACCGCTTCTAATCTCATCTCAGACCAACAATAGTGGTGACATTAAGCGTAGAGAGTCAGAGGACAAACACAACCTTTAGATTGAGTGACCTGCATGAAATTCTCCAGGAAACAAAAGTCCGTTTTTTTCCCCTTCGAATTTGTTTTCTTTGTACAGCCGCAGACAGGCACTCAATAGCAGCAGGACAAGGTCTATATTTGACAAGAGGCGTAAAAGTTGTTACTCGTAAATGTTGTTCTCCCCTTTGCTGGCTGTGAATGGGACGCTCAATATCGCCGGCCGGGCTCTTTCATGCTCAGCTGAGTGAACGTATTGATCTGTGGCTGAATGGCGCTCCGAAGAGGCCACGATTGACACGACGTCCGGCGTTGACACAAAAGAGGTCGTCTTGTTAATTACTCCGCTTTGATTTTTGAGTTTATTTCCCTTTCGTTTTTATCTACAACCTTAAAAGTGCAATCCGACTTCACCTGTGTGACCAACACCACCCTCCTCTGCACTCCTCTTACCCAATTCCTTTAACCCCTACTCCCGAGCCCTGTTTTGTTTGTGACTAGACCTTTCTTTTTTGATTCTGCTGTGATATCCCCCGTCTCTCCTCTAACCCTAAACCTTAATCTTAACCTGCACCATTTAAACCAAATACCACCTCCCGAGTCAGCAAACACCCCCGACCCTGTTTTTTGTTACCTCCCTTTCTTCTCTTATTCTACTAACCTGTTTGCCTCATTCCTCCACTAACCACTAACCCAAGCCTGAACCCTAAACCCCTAAATCTAACTAACTACTAAATGCCCGAACCAATTCCATTGTCCTGTTAAGTACTCGCTTTTCCTATTTCAGACACTTGACCTTGCCCTGGCTCTTCTCTCACCCTAACAATTTAAATCATGTCCCCTGAACCCTGAAATGTAACCCTTAAATTTCCTGTAACTAACCCTAACATCCTTAAAATTTGTTGAGCTTCTTCTCCTTCTCTATCACACCACCTCTATCGCCTTAAAAATGCAATCCATCTCACCTGCGTGACCACCTGCATTCGAGTTAAGTGTTTCTTCCCAAGGACAGAATGTCAACAAGGTGAGGCTGAGAGCTTTATTTCACAGGCTGCTGTCATCTGAGTGCTTCCATCAGCAGCGTCCTCAGACGTCGGGAATTCACTACTGGCATTCAGGTGACATGTCGGAACATTTTGGGAACACTTGTGGGGGCAAATGGCTGACACGTAAGGAACAGTGAAAGGTGTGTAAGGTAAAACAGAAACCGAGATGTAAAAGCTGAAGGAAAGTCAATTTAATTAGTCAAAATTGAATTTTCTTGAAATCTATATAATGTGTGTGGACACTGACATTATTGATTGTGTTAATTTCCTGTTCAACCCACAAACATTCATGATCACAGCATGCATTGATTGGAAAGAAATGTAACTATCCAATTTTAAAATAACACTAACCCTCCAATCCTAACGCAAAATCGTAATTTAAATAACAAATCTAACTGACCAAACACCTGAACACTACAACCCCAATCCCTGACACTACATTATCTTAAACTCTAACCGGCTAACCACTCTCCTGACCCTCTAACTCCCAACCCCCAAATGTAATACCCTCAGCCCTAAACCTATCTCTAACGCTGCCCTCTAACCAGAACCCTCAAACCATACTCGAACCCTACGACCTTACCCGATAGCACTAACCCTCTAACCCTTACTGTAACCTAAACACCTTAAGCCAGAAACGTAAATATTTAACTAACTCTTAACCTCCTAACCCTGAAACCCCTTCAACCCTAATCCCGCAAAATCTCTCACTGTTGTCACTCTGATATCGTCACAGCTCGCTGTGGCTGAATTGAACAGTTTGCAAATCAGCATTCATGGCACAGCGTTGCAACCTTGCACAGCAGCAGGACATACACAATTAATGGATTGGTTGACGGCACACTGTGCTGTGCTGTGCTCAGTGCTGTGTGAAAGGGCCTGAACTGCAGGGTTAAGTAATTAACATATTAGTAGCCTAGAACCCGAACCCTTCACCCCTTATACCATTAACATAACCACAACAAAAATAAAAGCTGAAGTCCTCACCTGCGTGTGAGATGGCGCAAGGCCTTTGCGCCCATATACACCGATCAGGGCATTCTTTTGCACAGAGATGTTGAATTTGAGGAAGCGTGGTTTGTCCACGCTGAGCCGGGAACGCCAGAACACGCCTGGTGGAACGTTTTGGCCCGCACTCTTCCCGATGTCCACAGGTCCTGTGTCCAGAGAGTTGTTCTCCTGGTGGAGAACACTTGTCCTTCCTAGGTGGCGGAAACAGAACAGTTGCTATTGCTACTTTTTTAGGCACTCAGGCATCATGTTATTTTCAATCTAGATTCGCAGTCAACTCAATTGCTGTGTGCAGTGCAAGGTGAAGAGTGGTCTTGTAAGTGATCAGTACATTTCTCAGCTTCATTATAAGGGTTATACAGACTGACTAACTTGTCGACTTTATTATTTGTGGCCCCTGTAAAGCCATAGGGGCCGGAATCACAACAGTCTGCCTGAATGTCCCAGGGAGAAAGAACCCTTGTGCTTGGCTTTCTGGCCTCCTGGCCAGCTAAGCACCTCACGTATGGTGTCCCTGAAACCCACAAGACTGCCTTCTATTTTGTAATGTGAAGCGCCTCTAGGTGAGAGAGAATCAATGAAGGAGGAAAAACGGGCTTGAGCAGGATTTTGAACAACTGTGATTTTTACCATTCATCCATTTTCAAATCCGCTCATCCTCACACAGGTCGCGGGTGTGCTGGAGCCTATCGCAGCTGTCTTCGGGCAGTAGGCGGGGTATACCTTGAACTGTTTGCCAGCCAATCGCAGGGCACACAGAGACAAACTACCATTCGAAGGGACAATTTAGAGTGTTCCATCACTCTTATCATGCATGTTTTTGTAATGTGGGAGGGAACTGGAGTATCCGGAGAAAACCCATGCAGTCATGGGGAGAACATGCAAACTCCACACAGGAAGGCGTATCATGCATATTTTTGTAATGTGGGAGGGAACTGGAGTATCCGGAGAAAACCCATGCAGTCATGGGGAGAACATGCAAACTCCACACAGGAAGGCGAACCCTGCACCTCTGCACTGTGAGGCCGACACGCTAACCAGTCAACCAGCGATCCGCCCAATTTCTTTGCATTTGTCTTTAAGATTTCATTTTTTCCCAATAAACTCTTCCTCGTGGTTGCTCCACAATCTTTTGTGTCCATGTTTATATCTTGAAAGCTACGCCACTTTTTACTTTGCTCAGTCTGCCTTGTTTCTTGCTGTTTTCACCACAACAATAGTCTGTTTTCTTGAAAGATTATAGCATATGGTCACTCCACAATGTTGTATGCATCTGTGTAGCTACGCAACTAACTTGTTCCACCCAGTCTCATTTATAATTCACCCTTTTCACCCAAGTAGACACTGACATATGGTCGCTCTATAATGCTGTGTGTGTCTAGGCTCATGTACTGTACCCTTGCATCCAGTTGGCTTCATTTCCTGATTTCTCTTTGTTTTACATGTTTGTTTTCCCCCAGTAGATGCTGACATGTGGTCACTCCACATTGTTTCACGCGTCCATATTTACACTGTGTCCTGGGTGCGATGCTACTTAGTCGTTCCGGATGGGCTGCCTCGTTTCTTGCTGTTTCTCTGCATTTCCCACGAATAGTCTTGTTATTCCAAGGATACAATGAGGTATGGACACGCCATTATATTGGTGGTGGTGTGTGTGTGTGTGTTCTCCAGGCAACTACCGTTGCTGGATTGCTTCATAATAGTCCAATTCTGCTTTAAATGGCACTTTCACTTAACAATTGTAATATACTGGTTACATGTTGAGCATAACATACTTTTATGTAGGTGGACGATGTGATTCCT